CATGCTCGCCTTTCAGCCGTGGGGCGTTATAAATGACGGTCAATCCATTATTGTTGCTAAAAGAGTAGCCCAAGTGTTGGCGGTGGGTGGTGATGACTAGCTATCTTCCCTCTACTCTTCCACTGCTAAATTAGGGACGGCTAGCGCAGATAGACCTCGTGTAGCTTTAAGATAAATTCAAAAACAAACAAAACAAAGTGGAAAACCAAACGTTGTTGTATAGGAGGGAGGAGTGGTCTGTTGTTTAACGGAAATCATTAATATATTGCAGAGATAATGGAGTTCCCAAGGCTATATCATTGATCTGATCATAGTTTGTGTTAGTGAATCGAAAATTGGTTATTTTTTTAATGAACTTCAATAATTCAGTAAAGACAAGACGAAGAGAATCATTTTGAAAAGAACAATATAACAGATAAATGACGTCATTATTAAACATATGAGCATGTGGGTCAAAATGTTTAAGTTTCTGTTTTCATCTTCCCGTACAGCCGTTGTAATCAACTTGTATGATATTCCTCATTTCTATACAATTTAAAAACGTTGTTAGTTTACGTATCAGTCAGAATGAGGATAACTTCAAGAAATTTAGAAGTTTACTCAATATATATATATATATATAGTAAACGGGAAAATTAATTCCCTATTGAGTTATTATTGTTATCATTGTCGATTTTTATTTTACACTGTTATCTTTCCATTTTCTTTTTTATGTAAAACTTGTATCATTTTAGTAAAGTCTTTGGGTCTCCATATCTGCTTGCTACCCTATTCCTACGCCACTGGTACAGAAGAATTTATATTTTTTTTCTTTACAATTCAGGCCAGAATAAATTTTTATTTTTAAATTCTGTATTCGTATAGGTTGCACTAATTACGTCTGGAATCCAATAGTGCTGCCCCCTAGTGGCGCTCAATGGTAAGTCTGAAATCATATAACGCTAAAAACTGGGTTTCGATATCCGTGGTGGACACAGAACAGATAGCCTATTGTGTAGCTTTGCGCTTAACAACAAACAAACAAACAACACCAACAGGGCTGTTATTTGGGATAAAAATAATTTACACTGTAATTTTTTTTACATACCCCTAAATGTATCTTTTACGTATTTCAAACAAAATGTGTATAAAAAATACCATTTCAGACTTGCCTATTGTAATCACAAGGGGAAAAATAAAAAACACACCTGGAGTCAAAGTGTTTTTTATGACAAACTCTAAACCTATTGCATTACGTAATATACATTGCAGAATGTTTACAATTAACAGCAGAAAAGACTAAATATCACAGTCGGAATGCAAATACACTACAAAATGCTAAATTTTTTAAAGTTATAATGAAAGAACACGTTAGGCCACGTACGAAAGAGAAATAGATACATGCTATAAACACCGCAAAAATCTAACACGAAATACAAGTTTATATTCTGATTATTTTTATAACATGGCTTTATATTAACAAAATTTTGAATATGCAAATTCACAAGTCACATCACAACCACAGCCGATATAAAGTTGTGATGGAAAAGAATGTACCAGAACTACATTTTCACGTTGTTTGGCGTTATATAGGTAGTGTGATGCAAACAAAGATTAACGACTTTCGGGAAGAGTATGTAACAGCCCTTTCTAACGCAAAATGTTTATACGTTCAGATTATAAGGATGGGTTCAGATCGGGGATTTAGAACTTCCAAGAAGAGGATATCTTATGTATTTAATGGTATTGGACAACAAAGGAATATGTACCAACTTGGGGCACCAAGACTATCTAGAAAGAGACTTGCAACAAGTCATAACTGAGACATGGTAATTAAAGTGCGGTGTCTTGTAACAGGTGAAAATCCACAAACAGAAAGTTCAATGATAAAATCTCTCCATTTGGCCCAGACAGCATTATACAACATAATCAAGAGGAATCTCTCTCTGGGAAAGCGACACAAGTCACGTGTACACATATTGCCTCCACGACAAATCCGTTCAACCGTCACATATCTGAATCAGCTAGAGAATGAAAAGGGTATTTGTGCTAATCCATACATACTGGTCAAGTCCTTGGACGCAGTACCTATGAATTTCTGTACAATCGGACTGATGAAAGGGGTTCATGGAAACCATCATCTTCATAAACGTCACTAGATGGTCTATGGAAAGCCAGCAGGGATGGGTGGTGTGGTTTCGTCATGAAACTTTATGACAGAGTCTTTTGCAATGGAAACTACGTTGCAGGACTATTGTCAAGATGCACGGTCGTCAGGTGGAGCATGGCCGGACTTGTCGAAATGGACTGTAATGAAATCGTTTTAACATAACGTAATCAACTTCCGTATACTTTTAGAAATGTCATAAAAAACAAACATTTGTCGTACAAATCCTCGTGCACTTGCACATTTCTTTAAAGCTATTAATTATAAAAATTCTGTGTTGGTTCCTTGTATTTGTACTTATTCTACATTACTCATTTGGTTTTAACGTTTAAGAACGAATTATGTTTCTCCTTTTCTAGGGTGATATGGAGAAGGTGGAGAATAAAGCGGTTTTTCTCACAGTCCACGATCTTGGAAGCAATCGTAGGTTCCATCTTTCTTTCTGGCTTAAAACAATCTCTCCCTTTTCTTTGTAAAGCTTCTGTAAGATAAAATGTAAAGTAACACCTTTCTTTCAGAAAATTAATCTTACTTTTTTTTTTAAAAAGGACTCAAGTTAATTAATTTTTTTATGACGTGGAAGTTATGGATTTAAGATGGCTTTTCCTGATAAATCTACTTCACTAAATCATATTTTATTCTTAAGGAAACAGTTATTATTCTTAATCATTCTTTTTTTTTATCCACACATAATTGATGATATATATGTTTGTTACTGTAGGTTTAAATGAATGTACAGCGTGGCTCTTTTTCTGTTAATTTTAATTCATTTCGATCATATTTATTTACTTAATCATTTGTGTGGTGGCGCTAAACAATTCGTGAAAGATCTTATAACATAGTCTAAGAAATACCTAGCTCTAACGCTTCAGTATGACAGTTTGTTTTTCGAATATTCGCCCAAAGCTAATCAATGGTTATCTGCGCAAACCCTTCCCTAATTTTGAGCTGATAGACTACATGGAAGGCACTTGGCTAACAGCACTTAGCGCCAACACTTGGGCTACTCTTTCCTGCCCGAATGGTGTAAATTGATAGTCTCCCTTATAACACACCCACAGCCCCAAAGTCCGGACTGCGGGATGCCAGTAATGGACCAGTAGATCCATAGCTTGAAATGCTGACCACTAGACCTCACTCGGCCCCAATATAACAGTTATAAAGTTTCAAAATCAGTAGCTACGTCATAAACACGAAATCACTCCATTTACCCTTCTGTGGCTAAATATGGCGTAGATAACTAAATTTTAAAACTGGTTATCTTTGATGCTTTATAAAAACCGATAGATCGAAATCCCATTACTCCAAAATCACTAGAGCTTTCCAACTGTACACTGATATTCAACGCTGTGTTTATAAATATGAAGTGATCTGATCCAACCCTATCAATTTTAAGCCCGATTTTGTTTAATCTCTACTGATCCAAATCCCATTGCTCCAGAGTTCAAAACAACTGGCACTTCCCAACTGTCTAGTGACATTTAAAATTCTGATTAAATATTTTTCTGATGTAAATATGAAGTGGTTTAATTCACCCCTATCTGTTCGGTTAGTCTACCGATAAGTTTATGAACTTACAACGATAAATTCCGGGGTTCGATTCCCCGCGATAGACATAGCAGATAGCCCGATGTGGCTTCGCTCTAAAACAAACAAACAAAATGTTATGTTAATGACAACGTGGTTTACTTAAACATTGGCCGAGCGCGAACCAATGGTTAGCGTTACATAGTGTGGATAAAGGTTCTCGTACTGTTACCGCGAAAAAAACGCGCTCCACAATTTGGGGCCATAAGAGCGTTATAAGAATGACAGTCACATCACACTATTCGTTCTGACAAGAGTAGCCCAACCAAGAGTTGCGTGGTGTTAACTGACCGTCTTCCCTCTAGTATCTTACTTCAAAATTGGGAACGTCGAGTCCTCGAATACCTTTACACAAAATTCAACAAAAATACTTGTGTATTTGGTATCTATTTTGTTTACCAGAATACGATGACGTTTTTACTTCGATATTTCAGTATTTTAATATAAAACTCATTCTGCTCACTTTACGCTTAACTTTTCTTGAACTTGGATCGGATTAGCTTGACAGATGCAAACACACACAACTAAGTGATTTTCAAGAGTTAAAATATTCAAACATAGTTTATATGCCATTGAAGGTTTTAGAAACTTTACACAAAAGATGGTAAGCTTTGTTGTTTCTTTAACGACAGTGCACAAGTATTATTTATAATGCTTCACATACCTTTTGTCAAATATATTTGCATAATTCTCAGCAAGCAGTCCAAGCACACCGATAGCTAACCCCCAGGTCTCATTAGATCTTCCTTGACGTGATCGTATAAAATACACTTAATTGTTTAACACCCAGCCTTGTTCACTAAGGTCAACACCTTTTCTATAATGCCCGAGCATTTCACAGGCAAGCAGAAATGTAAAAATTAAGTGTGTGCGGAAAAAAGCACAAAATGTCAAACAGTCACTCTTCAATCCTGGTATAAAATGAAACAGACAAAGAGCAGGTGTCTTTTGGTTATTCCTTGCGATGTGGGTTAACAAGAGCCGCTGCTGTATGGGTTATGGAGTACTCGATTATCGATATAAATCCAGGATAAAATCAATAAATTCCTCTTTCTGTAATATTCTGTTATACAGCAATACCCATTGAAATCAATTTAATAAATGTTGCGTTTTCTGTGTTTATCGATCTAAGTTTGATGCCGTTTATTTTTAAGTTAACTATATGGAGGAAAAATTGAGTTGAAGCTTACATTCTTTCTATTTAACCTCCAGTGAGTCCCAAAACAAAGTTAAAAGTATCCTCTTTTAAACTTATCACGTTAGATAAGAAACGGAAAGATCACCTCCAAGTTTGTGTTTTGGCTCCTTTACGTGTATCAAACAAGACAGGCAGATAAAAATGGGATGAAATGAATCCCACGAGAGCAGTGCACACGGTAAAAATAAAAAATTTCAGTTGACGTAAACCGATAGTAGAATCACAGTCAGCTGAGCTAGCCCTAATGGCTGAACCGCTAGTCTTAAATGATTCATTTGGATCAATTTAATGGTTTAGATGGCTTTCCACGAACTTGGGTAATATCTTTAATAAATATTGGTTGCAGCAGGGCGTTTCCCTTAAAATAACGTATTTTATGAACTCGCGTTACCCATTATTGAATAGCCATTCACACCACGTTGGTCAGCGATGTGAGATAATGAGAGACCTCTAACTTTACATTTCGGACTCATCGTGACTACGGTTATAGCATGTCCTCTAAAGGCCGAATTTGTTATAAATGAGATGAAAACCACACTGGTAGTTATTTTCGTGAAAACTTGACATGGGAAAGACTTCTATAAAGAAAGATACTCTGAATTTACGATCACGGTGTAGGCTTAGCTCCTATTCCACCTACCTTGTATTTATTAATATGTTGTCTTCCCCTAGTGGCTGATTTTGAAGGACATATTTCATGGTTTTGCATGCTTTACACTTTTTAATATGCACTGTATAATATTTAGTGTATATGGTTCAATTTTTGCTGTATATTCTACACAGTTTACACTATTTACTGTGTACTGCACTGGTTAAATGATTTTTTTTTATCATAATAGTTCTGGAAACATTTAGTTATAATACATGAGCTTGGGTGTCACAATTGTTTTTTCTTTTTGTCTCATATAAAGGGCGAATATCATCGTCGTACTAAGTAGTAGTTATATTTACATTTATTTTAATACTAACTCTCGTTAACACCGCAGAAATTATGAAAGCGTAATGAATGACGCTCTGAAACAGTGGAATAAAATCATTTTAAAACATTCAATATCTTTTGTAATTATTAACTTCTAATACTGGGCAATTGAAAGAAATGGAGTTGGGTTATCTTCGCTCTGTCCACTGCTGGGAACTGAACCCCATATTTTAGCATTGTTAAATCTGTAGGCTTTCCGCTGACCCATTGGAGGAATATTTCCACTATCTCATTAATGCAATTCACCTCTTGTAAAGGAAAGTCCACACTTCGAAAGCTCTTATGTTGTTTGCTTTATTTTCTAAACTATACTCTCTTTATATTACCTTCCTAACTTGCTCTGATCTTTTCCCAATATTCTATAATTTGGATTTTAAATAAATAATAAAAAATAACAAACATTATCAATTTAATTTAGCAGTTTATATTTCACGATGAGTATATGCAATTTTTGTTGCTTGGATAAACAGTAGAGGCAAAGGCGCAAAGCCTATCTTTAGTAGAACAATTAATGTTTCATACTATTATACTTCCCTTTAAATGGCGAAGCGCTGTTGAACAAAAAAAAAATACCGATGATAAACGTAATCAATGTAAATTTTCAATGTGTAACGAACACCTAATTATGTGTGTCCTTATTATTTTATTTGAATTTAATTTATTTGAATAAATATATACACTATGAACACTGTACTGTGCATATTACGTAAACCTAAATCTCCAACATAACACGATCGCTCCGCCCACTTAATCACACCATAGTTACCGTTGCTAAGTATGACTAACACTCACCGAGATGGCCGCAAATACAGCTTGATTCTTTTATTACTCTTTTTTAAAATAATGTGATATATCTGTAACGTCAGGACAACTGAGTTTAAAAGATTTCGCCGAATGATATGTATATGAGTGACTGTTGTTCCGCAAGACGTGAACAGAAAAACTCGGATAAAAGGTAATATATAAGATAACACGTCTTTGTTATCATAATTTCAATGTCAATTATTGTTACATGGTCTTTACTGCATGACGAAGGGTGTCTGCCCCAAAACGTTGCACAAAATAAAACTAAAAAAACTAAGTTTTTATTTAGACATGTTAATTTAGTTTTTATTATCTATTATTCGAATTTATATGTATATGACTTTGTTTTGTCCATTCATGACGTAAATAAAACTTTCGTTCGAGCTAAATGTCATCCGATCCAAGGGCAAAGCTAGAAACCACACGTAATTAACATTGAAATCACCCAAGAAAAAAAAAACATTTATCCATAGCTCGTTTCAAGTAGTGTAGGCACGAGTTATTTATTTTTCAAGTTGTTTTTAATCTATGCAGAAAATAATTACCTAGTTGAAAGTTGTGAAAAAAAGCCTATAAACCTCCTGTGTTAAAAATAAAAACTAATTTACTTCGGTTTCTATATATAGGCCTTATCTCATTAATTTCCGGTATAAATTCTTTCCGAGGAACTTCAGCGATACAAGTCCTTTTTTAAATAAAACTAGTTTATTCTTTCTCGATACAACTTTGTGAAACACAGAATTTCCACAGTCACTTTAACTTAACTACTTTTATAAACACACCTTATAATTCACAGCGATTCACACACTTTACTTACGGTGCCTACTGTTCGCTTTACTCAATTATCTATCTATCTATGCAATTCTATCTCTCTCGCTGGCTTCATATGCCGGGCTTATATACTAAAAAGAGGGCGCCTGGAACAAACTAGAGTTGCCAGGAAAATTCATGATCATTCGAGAAACTCCACCACGCATGCTCCCAGCGTTGCGTGACTTCCGTTGTCGTAACAGTACTCTTTTTGACGTAATATAGAAAAGACACCGATTGGCCAAAGCATTGTTGGAGCCACGTTATTTGATTTGAATTAAACATTGAAAAATGTATGCTCTGTAATATACGGGAGTTATTGATGCAGGGAAAATTGCAATTTCACATCTTAGTTTTTAAAAAGTAAAATAAATGAAGGACCAGACAAACAAATATGTAATGGAAAAAAAAACATAAAACGTTAAGTTAAATAATAACGTTTAATTTAGGATTGATTCACCTGGATGAGTGTTTTTATTTCTAAAGTTCAGAATTTGACGATAGCGACTCGCATCTTCAGCTTTAACAGCGAAATATTCTATTTTATGTTCAGACTTTTTAGAAGTAGTTTAATATGTAAAGATTCCTTGATCCGAAGTGTTAAAAATCTGATGGTTCTGAAGTTTCTTGAAGTTATTTAATTGTTGTTAAATACTTTGAATACAGTTTTCAAACTTCTTGTCTTGTTTTTTCCTTCTTCTTCATTAGACAACTCCATCAAGAATTTTGTCGACCATGAAAGTATGGTTGAAGTTAAGTCGCGGTCTGTGTTCATCCACGTCGATGTTCCTGGTCAAGAAGAGAATGCTGCCAACTGGCCGACTGAGTAGGTGGCGCTACTTGCTTCGTAATTGATAGGACAGTTCCACTTTGTGCTTTCGTTTGCAGAATTTCTGTAAAAAATAATATTCTTTCCAGATATTGAATGACAAATCATGTACATTAGCACAGAATTCTACGTTTTAAGAACAATATCCAGTGAGGGTGAGGTAATAAAGGTATTGTATTAGGTATTAAATAAAATACTAGTGAGTGAGTATTGTGGGTTAAGGCATTAAAGATAAAATGTCTTGTGGGTTAAGATATGAAAGACATAACGAATTGTGGGCTAAGGTATGAAAGACAAAACATTTTGTGGGTTAAGGTATTAAAGACAAAACGTATCGTGGTTTAAAGATTTAAAGAAAACGTATTGTGGGTTAAGGCATTAAAGATAAGATGTCTTGTGGGTTAAGATATGAAAGGCATAACGAATTGTGGGCTAAGGTATGAAAGACAAAACATTTTGTGGGTTAAGGTATTAAAGAGAAAATGTCTTGTGGGCAGGAA